ACTGCTAACATTTCCAGGCAGTTGATGTGGAAGCCTTTTTCTGCCATCGACCAGTGGCCGAAGGTCGGTATGCCCTCGCACAGCGCTCCCCAACCTGAGTTGGAGGCGTCTGTCGTGACAACTGTCCTTCTGTCAACCATCCCCATGGCCACGCCCGGTTCCATCCAACGGGAGTTCTTCCAGGGGGTCAGGGCCGATACACAGGCCTAACTCACCCTGATATGCAGGCATCCGTGATGCCACGCATGGAATGGAACCCATGGTTTCAACCAGCGCTGAAGGGGGCGCATACGCAGCAGACCCAACTGTAACACTGGAGATGCTGCTGCCATGAGGCCCAGCATCCTTTGAAATGCTTTGAGCGGGCGAGCGGTACCGATCTTGAAGGAGGTCGCCAGCCTCCATATGGCCAGAGCTCGTTCTGGCGTGACTACAGCGTTCATTTGAGCTGAGTCGAAGATTGTTCCCAGGAACGATATTCGTTAGCTGGGAAGCAATGAGCTTTTGGCAAAATTTACCCTGAGTCCCAGGCACTCCAGGTGGCTGAGGAGGAGGGCTCTGTGAGATATTAGTTCTGCCTCCGACTGAGCCAGGACGAGCCAATCGTCAAGGTAATTGACAATACGGACTCCCATCTGTCTCAGAGGGGAAAGAGCCGCATCCATGCACTTCATAAAGGTGCGGGGGGCCAGGGACAGCCCGAAGGGAAGGACCGTATATTGATAAGCCACACCCTCGAAGGTGAATCTCAAGAATGGCCTGTGACGAGGGGCTATCTGGATGTGAAAGTATGCATCCTTCAGGTCCAGGGAAAAGAACCAGTCTCTCAAGCGAATTTGCGAGAGGATCTGTTTCAGTGTAATCATCCTGAACGACCGCCTTATGAGGGCGCGATTCAGGTGTCTGAGATCGAGGATGGGCCGGAGGCCACCATCTCATTTGGGGACGAGGAAGTAAAAGCTGTAAAGGCCTGACTCGCTCTGGGCTGGAGGAACCCTTTCCACAGCTCCTTTTGCTAGCAAATTCATCACCTCCGAGTGCAGGACAGGTGGGGACTCTTCGAGCGAATTAGAGTGAATATCCTTGCTTTATTATGCCCATAACCCATTCCGACGGGGATGGCCTGCCAGGCCTCGGCCTGCGTGACGAGGGGTTGAATTAACTCGGGTGACTGGCCGCATGGGGGCAGAGCACGTACAAGTGATGGAAGAGGAAGTTTGCTCTCTTTTTGAAAAT